AAACCCGGGAGCTGAGGTGTTCTGATTATTCGGCACTTTTCGCACCTGGTGGGCCGGGTAGACGGGTGATAAGAACCCCGTTGACACGTTGCCCATTATCGACACGAATGCCGGCAGTTGTTGCCGCGTAAAGCTTATTATTGTGGTCGCCGCTGTATATCGGCGGGAGGAAGGGCTCTGTGCAGCGCAGGCGAAGAAGACGAGGGGAGGGGAGAGGGAGGGAAATTTGCAACGATGGGAAATTGCGCGGAGCCGCAGCGTTGTTGAGCGGACGACCGGTCGAGCCGGTTTGGAGAAAGGAATGAGCTCGGCGGAATGGGACCCGTGAGTAATGGCGATCTGCTCCGGAATATTCTAGTCACGGAAGACGCAGGGCGGGCGCGCGGGCGCCTGGGCTCGCGTCGTCGGTAGAGTTAGACATTATTCGAAATTTTTTCGAAAATTTCTGGGAAGGGCGAAAAAAAATTCCGGGGTTGGGAAAATTTTCCGAGAATTTTCCGGAAACTTTCCAAGGGTTTCCAGTCCAGTGGTCCCTAGTGGTCTGCTCACCTGCGCCAGCGAGAGGGCCTTCTTGAGCAGGCTGCCGGCGTGCTTGAGCAGCACCGACAGGCTCACGTGCGCCACGTCGAAGACGAACACGTCGCCCGAGATCTCGGCCTCCTCGACGAGGCGGATGTCCGAGACCATGAAGATCATCTTGTACACGGACTGCGCCACGTGCTCGGAGGCGTCCACATCGTTGAGGACGTGCAGGGTGACGCGGGCGCCGTCGCGACGCGTCCGCGGCAGCGGCAGGACCGACCTGGAGGGAAAGAGAAAGACACGGGTCATGAGCGCGGGGACGCCTGCGAGGTAGGCATCTCCCTGCTCAAGCGCGCGACCGGGTCGCCTACCCCGCCGGCAATCTCGTCGCCCGCCTCCCTCTGCGCCCCGAGAGAGGAGTACTTCACTATAAATTCCAGCGTCCACGAATTTTTTTACTTTTTCTCGATTCTCCCCTAAATTTGCCAAAAAAATCTAATGTTTTTCCAAGTTTTCCTTGAATTTTCCTTGATATTTCCTTGATTATTTTTCTTTTGATTTTTTCTGATCTTTTGAGGGTGTACACTGATGTTTTGTTTTGATTGAAGTAAACACAGTGTGCATGTACTTACAGCGCCCTCCAGGCCTGCTGCGTCTCCTTGGACGAGGGGTCGCGCTGCGCGAAGAACTCGGGCATCTTGGCCCTGGCCGTGAAGTAGGCGTCGATCTTGCGCTTGGCGCGGTGCACGTCGTACTTGGTGCCCGCGAGGAAGCGCGGCAGGATGCGCTCGTCTGCGGAAGCAAGATCATCGTTTTATGTTATTTTTGTGGAAGGGTGCTGCTAGAGTATGAAAGCTCGCTTCAGTTACGGGACATGGGTCAAATAGTTCTATCGAGGCAGGATGGAAGGGATGATGTAAGTCGACCCATATCCCATGCCCCTTTCTAAATGAATGAATCGGATTCCGCGGATTACTGCATCGCACAGGGGAGCCGGCGGTAGTATAGTAGTGGCGGGTGTGTGTGAAGACTCGGTTTCGTTTTCTGACGTCAGTACGTCGGTCGCCGTCGTCTGCCCGGTTCTGCGATTCTCGTGACGTCATTCGCACCCACGGCGGCTCCTCACACATTGTACCGTTTCCGACACCCACGTGCTCCAGTCAGCATGCAGCCTACTGCACTACTTCCCCCTTGCGTCACATGCACAATTTCGAAAAAAAAAATAATCATGCAATCTTCTTTTTCTAAGATTTTCAATTTTCTTACTACGAAGAGGTATTTATGAAATATTTGTTCGCGTACTAAGAGTGAAGGGTGTTTTATTTAACTGGGCAAACGCCAGCCTTCAAATCAAGAGTATGGTTTTGTTCTCAAAAAAGAATTTCATGTTTTCATCCATTGTGGTTTAGTTGGTACGCTTACCATAGTTGCGGGGCAGGTGGGGCTGCGTTTGCATCCAGTCCTTGAGCTGCTGGACGTACTCCCTCTGCTTGTCGGCGTAGTTGTTGTTGATCTCCTTGCGGACGTTGCGGGCCTCCTCGGCGCTGGGGGAGTGCAGGAGCTGCAACAACATTCAAGTTCAGGTTCTCGTTTCTGCGGCCAAGTTCACTTTTATTTTTTTGCCTCGGTCGGCAACCTGCCGCCTTTCTCTCAATGCTGTCCACATCCAGATCCGCACATAAAGACAATCCACATGCATCTTGGACTTTTGAGAACAACCCGTTTTTTGTTGTTTTCATTTTTTCGGGGACTGATTGGCAGCCTCAACAAAAGTGGGATAAGGAAACAAAGGGGGGAAAAAACCTACCAGGGTTGATATTAACCTGCGCAATATATGCTTTTATTAACAGCGCGGTTATGTCCGTCTGGAGGTCGCCTAATATGTGTGTGTGTGTGCACCTGGGAAAGTCTCAAGGGCCTCAGGTAATGATGACTGCAGTCATCAATATTGCTCTCACGTGAGAGCGTTCACTGCTGCGCGTGATTCCGCGGATAATGCTCAGCGAGTGAGGCAGGGAGGGAGGGCAAAACGGCATTGCGACACTCCTCTCTCCTCTCGACAGTCCGGTGCAGGACCACACCGGGCATGCCAAATTTAAACCACCCGGTCCGGTTGGAAGCAACTGTACCGCGACCGAGGAGGCTATATTCGGCGCGCCTTTGTTTTGCTTCTGCCGCGGGACTTTTAAGCAGAGCGGCAGATTCCACGACGGCGCGGCTCGGACTCGCCGCCGCGGGGCGGGGTACCGGTCACCGGCGTGGGACCTGCCCGCCACCGCTACGCTTCAGCTACATGTCGCGGTGAGCATCGCGAATCACTTATACTACTGCCGTGTAGCCATTATACTCCGATTCGCATGCTCGAGACTCGCTTGCTCTGCTATAGCCGGAGAAGGCACGGCGCGGCGCGCACGCGACCCGACTGGAGCGTGGAAGATTACCAGACTTAAACGAGAACTAGAAGAAGAGAGGACGGCGAGGAGGATTGGGGGAGGAGGACGAGGAGGAGGAGGAGGAGGAGGAGGAGGAAGGAGGAGTCGCAAAGCTGCGACTGGAATTAGTTTTCTCCGGGTGAGTGCCCGGCCCAGGCCGCACCTGTGCCTCTGTGTGTGTGTGTGTGTGTGTGTGTGTGTGTGCGTGTGTGTGTGTTTGTGTGTGTGTGCGTGTGTGTGTGTTTGTGTGTTTACGCTTCGCCTGTCCAGTCCATCTGATCCTGGCTGAGTTCAGATGGAAATTTCCCTCCAGGTAGATTTCCCATCGTCATCATCATAGTCGTCTTTGACTGGGAATAAGTAACCATAGAGCTGCCACGGTAATGGAAAAATCGAGCAAAACACATTTGCCGTGTGTTGTTGTGCACGCCAATCGCGCATCCACACGGAGGGCATCATGGTGGTGCCTTTGTTTTGTTTTAAAAAAATAAGACAAAAACAACTGCATAAGGACACGCACAGACTGATCGCATGTTTTCCAGCCGCGTACACAATTGCAAACTGCCTCTTTTTTTGAAACTGAAAGGAAACCAAAACAATACAAGAGGACATTGCGAGAAAATGGGCAAGGGAGGAGGGGAAATGGGGGGGGGGGGCGGCACTTTGCCCTCTGGTAGAGACAGTCTCGGGGGACCTGTCTCAAAATATTATGTTGCGTAGTTTTGAATAATGGGGCGTCAATGAAAATTAGCCAGCCGCGCCGCGCGGGATTTTCCTCCGGGACCGGAACACCAAGCCGCAAACAGAGAAACACGTTTGCCGACGCGACGCCCGCCGGCGAAAGCGAGTGACCATAGGAGTGACCACTGACCACCGCCAGCGGAAAGTTTCAGGTTGGAAAAAATTTGAAATGAATGCCCATCGCGTCCAAGATTGTGTGTTTGTGTTTAATACGGATGGCAAAGCTTAGGCAGCGCGGGCCCAAGCGTCGATCTTTTTCACGACCATTGAAGCCCGTAGGACCGCATAATATTTTTTTACCGCATGGTACAAATATCATGGGGTCTCTATGGGCTCCAATGATGTTCCTGATCCTTTTGGGACCCCATAATATCTGTACCCCCGTCCCCCGAAAAAAAGTCACACAGTAGAATGGTAATTTTGTGCTTTTTTTCATTTTCAGATACAGTTTCGAGATTGAAATGGCCGGGCTCCCGGTGGTGGGCCCAAGGTTGAACCGGAGGAGGCATATACTATATCGGGGAGCGCTGCGCTTGTTGCTTGTTACGACTTCCTTCATGTCGTCTCTCGTCGGACCGAAGGCCTGCTGGCAGCAGGCGAGGACCGCGACGAGGAAAATGCTAATCAGCGCCTACTGGGGTGTTCCGCAATAAAATGAAAACAAAATACACAAAAAGAAATGTATGTATATGGAGCTCCC